ATCTGTCTCATGTCTCAAGGGCCATGATGGTTGGATGCCGGCTGTCTTCACATATATAAACTTCACAGATTATCACGAAATATAGCTTTATAGCAAATGTCTATAACTTTACTATATTTCTATATAGTTTAATATCTAAATTAAACAGTGGCGGTAGCGATGACGCGAGATCAATGCGATTGTCTTCTGAGCTTGTGAGAACCTCGTTAACACAAGAGTGCACATGCTAGGCATAAAATACAGTAGATAAGAAACCCGAAAATGAGCTTTGCAGCACTCTTATTGGATAGTAATTAACGAATCTCATAAGCCTAGGCGGTAGTGCAAAGTGGTGGGAACAGATCGTGAGTGAGCGAAAGGTATGCAATCTCTAGCGGAGTATCATATCGATGGTGGCAAGGTAGAATTGAGGGTAGATCGGGAACCCCAAATTGTTTTTGCAGTACAAAGTTAACTGCAGGCGTCGTGCGGGAGAGTTTCCACCTAAGTCATTCTACAAGTACTTAGACTCATTTTTTTTTATAGGAGAGGGGCAAACGAGCATGCGGCTCACCTGATGGTAAGTGACTACCGCCGCCCATGAACAACTGCAACACCAGGGGAATCGCAGATGCGTTGCCGGCCTTTTAAAAAGGAGTACGCTCTTTTCTTGAAGGTCCCTAAGTCGTATCGGTCCGGAAAAATCGCTGATGGTAATCGATTCCACAAGGAGGTCGTGCGAGGAAGAAAACATCTTCTAAATCGCACAGTGGTGGACCGCCAATCATCCAGATGGTGTGGATGGTACCGGGAGTTCTGCCGCGATGTGCGTTCGTGAAATTTGGCGGCTGGGATTAATCCGAACAATTCCTCAGAGCACTCCCCATGGTAGATGCGAAAGAAAATGCAAAGGGATGCAACATCTCTTCGCAGTGCCAATGAATCGAGCCGATCGGAAAGGGCTCGGTCGTCGACAATTCGAGCCGCTCTGCGTTGGATGCGGTCCAGTGGAAGGAGCTGGCACTGGGGAGCCCCTGCCCAGAGATGGGAACAGTATTCCATGTGAGGCCGAACTTGCGCCTTGTAAAGTAGCAGACGGTGTGCCGGCATGAAATACTGTCCCGCTCTGCACTCTCATAGAGTGACAATATCCTAGTTGTGGTTCTGTTCGTTGTAGTCATTCTTTCTAGTACAGGCAAGGAAGATCGCGTTGATAAGAGTCTGTGTAACACTGAGATGGATAGTGTTGCTGTTGGTTTGCACACTTTGATGTTATCGTTTAATTACATCACTCACTTTACATTACGTGTGATTGTGACGGGGACATATCGATCATACATCGAACTGTATGTGTATTGCTCTATACTGAATTTATAGTGTATTACGCTGTTTTATTACTGATAGTGTTTAATATTATAACACCACGTGCAGCAATACTGCTTATGTATTAATTACACCGACGATGATGACATTGTATGTTTACGTAGCTACCCAAAGTTAAGTAAAAACTTAAGTTTTTATTAATATAGATTATCTGATGTTATTTATTGAAAGCCATTATTTGATATAAAGCTGCGTCGGAATATAATATATTTATTTTGGGAAGGAGCAGCAATAAACCAGGTCACTTTATCTATAAATTATAATATTTTAAAATGATGTTTCTGCAGATCATTATTGTTTACTAGTATTAGTACAGAATCACTGTTCACATAGGGCTTTCCCGAAAATTGCTGCAAAGTCATAGTAAGTTAGCTACCTCGAGACAAGCAAGCAATGAAGGACCGATTTTATTACCACTATTTCCCAGTTATTTCCACAAATTTAATATAAGATTTAGTTTGTAGTGATCAATTTAGATCATTAAATTAATTCTTTATTTCATTTCAAAAAAAAAAAGAAGCTAAATCATGTTAAACAAATATTACTAATTCAAAATGTTCTATTTAGATTTATTATAACAACTTATTATGAAAATAACAATGACTTCAAACTTCTCTAAAATTACTTACTTACATCTTTTGGCGTGCTTCAAACTTTCCTTTAGACAGCAGTATGAATAGAATGTCTCAGACAATTTAAATTCTACTGACAATAACATATAATTACAGTTCTTAGATTTTACATCGCTAATGATGGTATTACGTGAACCGAATTGCTTAATTGTAGGTTCGGTGACGCATCTTGCCGCCCCTTTGTTCGTGATTTATAGACGTAGAAATGTCAATGTGTTCAGAAATTATTTATGGAATAATTAATTATGGTTAACTAACCAGAAGAAAGAATCTGGAACTGCTTTTTAAAGCTTAAAAATTCAATGATTGATTTTGAATTGATAGATCCAGATCATAAAAGAAAGTCTAGAAGTAATATAGTGAAGAACTTCCATCACTCATTTTACAAAAATAATGCTGGTTATTTACATTATTGAAACTTGATTGCAATAAATGCAATAACACTTTTATTTCTAAAACATTCTCTCCGAAGGTCGTAAATCATTTAATAAATGGGCGACATCAGGAATTCATAAGACAAAGGTTATATATATATATATATATATTACCATTAAAGTCATATAATTGCAGAGATGTATTTAAAGAAAATGTTAATACTGATTGCAAAATATTTAAAACTGTGAACAAAGTTTAAGATGACCATTAATAAATAATAATAAAAAATGAAATGACAGCGAGTATAATTAACATCGAATTATGTAAGAATAAAGCTCGTAGTTCAAACTAGCAATTAAATGTCATAAAGTATTATCATATATAACGTCCATATCACACCTGTGCTGGTAATTTTTGGAAGTACTAAGCTCAAAGTTGTTGACAAATATGTTTACCTGGGACAAATCGTTTGACTATGTAAGTCCAACTTCGACCGAGATTTCTATAGACGGATTCAACTCGGCTGGGCAGCGTTTGATTACGGGAGCGGGAGTTTACGACACATGTCGTAAAGTATACCTTAAAAATTGAAAACAAGATTGTACAACCAGTGCGTGTTGCCAGTGATGACTTATAGACCTGAGACGTGGTCCTTCAAAGCTGGCGGTATGAGAAACCTCAAGGTCACTCAGCGAGCTATGAGAATTTTATGCCCGGGGTTTCGCTACGTGATAAACTTAGAAATGAGGAAATCCGCAGTATAACCAGAGTAACCGATATAACCCAACGGATTAGTAAGCTGAAGTCGCAATTGGCCAGCCATATAGCTTGAACAAGTGACAACCAATTGGGAAGAAAGGATCTCGAGTGGCAGCCTCGTACCGGTAGGCGAAGTGTAGGGCGGCCCCCTACTAAATGGAGTGATAACTTGGTAAGATATGCAGGAAGTGGATGGATGGAGATGGCTCAAGACCGTGGTTAGTGGCATTCCTTGGGGGAGGCCTATGTTCAGCAGTGGCCCTGTGAAAGGGTATAATGATGAATGAATGAATGAATGAATATACTTTTATTGTACACCACGAACAAATATACAAACGTCATAACAAAATCAGATTATAATATGTACAATTTGGCGGCCTTATCGCTACATAGCGATCTCTTCCAGGCAACCAAAGGTGTAAAGTAATACAAACAATGAATAGGTAGGTGGTAGGTGGTGCAATATAAATATACAAATAATAAATGCAAAAAAAAAAAAAAAGATATAAATAACTAAGTAATACATGAAATAATATAAATTACTAACACATAATAAAAGATAAGGTAACACATATAATATATACATATACATACACATATACATACATATATACATACACACATATATATAAACATATATACATAAATATACACACAACACGTATATATCAATATATATATATATATATATACAAAATTCCTCAAACAATAATATAAAACTGATAGATACAATAAATACATAATCACACAATCTATCCTAACGGTCTCCGAACGACTGAGACAAGTAATGCTCTTTAAGTAATCGCTTAAAGATAACAATAGTTTGTGCCTCACGTATATGCAAAGGTAGGGCATTCCAGAGCTTAATAGACTGGACAGTAAAAGATTTATTGAAAAATGATGTATTGTGAGTTGGCACACTTAAAATGAATTTTCTAGAAGAGCGTAAAGGTTCCCCCGGAAGCCCCACAAAATTAAACTTCTCCTTTAGATAGGGAGGAGTAGAAGGGTGAAATAATACACAGTACAGAATAGAAAGTATATGCATGTTCCGGCGAAGTCGGATAGGTAACCACTTGAGACGTGAGCGAAATTGGGAAATATGGTCAAATTTGCGCAATCCAAATATGAACCGAATACTAGTATTTTGAAGTCTCTCAAGCTTATTTAGCTGGTCCTCAGTTATGTCTACATAGCTTGCGTCAGCATAGTCGAGAATCGGAAGGAGAAGAGACTGTGCGAGCATAATTTTTGTAGGAATGGGAAGAAATGATCGAAGGCGACGCAGTGAACAAAGAGCGACAAAAGTTTTCTTACTTACCTCATTCAGTTGGCGTATCCAATTTAAGGAATTATCAATATAAATACCAAGATTTTTGACATTGTCAAAGTAAGGGATAACAACTCCATCGAATACGATAGGTGGTACAGAGAACCAGTCAATTCTTGAGATAAAGCTCTGGCTACCAATAATGATAGCCTGAGACTTTTTAGGATTGACATTTAGGCCATATGATTTACTCCACTCGTGTATAAAATTTAGATCCTTATTTAATGTAGCGATTGCATTCGGCAGATTCTCAAGAGTTGACTGGGTGTAAATCTGGACATCATCCGCATACATGTGGTAGAGAGAGGATATTTTATGAGTGATTGAATTAATGAAAAAGGAAAAGAGTAAAGGTGACAACACGCCGCCCTGCGGCACGCCTGCAGTTATATCACACCAAGATGAGTGAGTTTCATCGACACGAATACACTGCCGACGGCCACAGAGATAACTTTGAAACCAGTCAATTACTGATGGAGATATGTTAAGGGAACATAACAGACTCAACAGTATATCGAAGTCAACAGTATTGAACGCATTACTGAAATCCAGCAAGGTCATGACTGTGAGTTGTTTATTATCCATACCCCACCGTATGTCATCAGTAACTTTGATTAAGGCAGTAGCCGTACTATGACCTGGACGGAAACCGGATTGTAAGGAATTCAATAAATTGTGCTTATTAAGGAAAAGGGTCAGCTGTTGGCAAATAAGTTTTTCAAGGACTTTAGAAAGGAAAGGTAAGATCGAGATGGGACGGAAATCAGAGAGGTTGACGGGATTAGATTTCTTTGGAAGGGGTATAATATGAGCACTCTTCCAGGCTTGAGGGAATTTAGAGGAAGAGACACAAGCATTGAGTAAATAAGTGATAATGGGAGTAATAACATCAAGGAGAGGAACAATCATATTACGGCTAATGTTGTCGCTACCGGCAGCATTTGAGGAGATGGATAATATGGTCTTCTTAACATCACATTCAGTAAACTGACTAAAAACGAACGGAGGATAATTAGGAGTCGGAATTACAGAAAGCGAACGAAGTGTTTGCAGTTTATGTTCGCTATCAAAAGAGTTAGAAGGATTAGAAAAATGTTGATTTAATAGTTCAAAATCAACACTAGGAGGTGAAGTATTTAGGGATGTTCTACCAACTCCAACTGTTTTGAGAAACTTCCACACCCTAGATGAGTCGCCGTTCTCGACTGATGTATGAATATGGCGTCGTTGCGCATCTCTACACAATGTGTTGCATCGATTCCTGATTTTGGCGTATTTCCTTACGTTTTCCTCTGTTTTATTCCTCTTAAGCTTTGACAATGCCGCATTCTTCTGCAAAATAAGCTTCTTCAGATCATCAGAGAGCCATGGAGCAGGTAGGTGTTTAAGTCTCACATAATGCATTGGCGCGTGGACGTCATAAAGCTGAGTGAGAAGAGAACAGAACAGTTCCACTTTATCGTCAATGCATGGAGCTCTCTCGATCACTGACCAGTCAATATTATAAGCATCTTCACAAAGTTGTTCAATATCCATTCCTCCAAAATTACGTCGCAGAACTAATTTGGGTTTGATTTTAGGAGGGCGTAGTTTATACGAAAGAAAAATTAAATCGTGATAAGAGAATGCATCAGCAGGGCACTGTCCGTGCTTGAAAACTAAATTGGAAGATGACACCATTATTAAGTCAAGAAGGGAAGGAGTACTGTTAGGAAAGTTATGAGTAGCAGAAAGGGGTAGGATTTGCATATTACACGCTTCAATTATAGCTTCAAGTTTTATAGATCGATTGTCGCCTTTAAGCAAACAGGTGTTAAAGTCACCCATCAAAATAGTGTGACTATACGTAGGGACTAGTGATTCTAAAAGAGATTCAAAAGAAGTAAAATAATTTATAGAAAGGGAGGGACTGTAGAAAACTCCAAGTAGGATTTTATTCTGAGACAGGGAGACCTCAACCAGCAAATGCTCAGCAGAATCAACAGGAGGTGGTTGACTTGACGAACTAACAATTTTAAATGGAAGGTAGGATCTTAGATAGATCGCCACGCCCCCACCACCCCTATTAGTGCGGTCATTTCTAATTAGATGAAACCCAGGCAAAGAATAAGAAGTGGAAGGCAGACAGGGTTTTAGCCAAGATTCTGAAACTAAAATGGCGTGAATATTTTGGGATTCAAATGACGCAAGCATGTCAGGATAATGAGCCGGAATGCTTTGGGCGTTAATATGAATAGCATTAAAGTTATTCACACAGTCTGAGAAAAAAGAATTTAAGGTGATGTTGAGTGAAGGAGGAGCAGTTGTACTGTGATAACTATCATCACTAAGTGTCCCATCGTCCGAAGACAACGATAGAAACAAATCACTATCGTTACAAATGTTTGAGGAGGCCATAAATATTAAATTAAAATATAAAATAAATTCTTATATACACTAAAAAAAAAAGAAAAAAAAAATATAAATAAAGATCGAAAGGTACCTATACTATTACAACCACCAGCAGCATGAAAGAGAAAGCACATAACAAAACAACAACTTAAAGAAATAAAACAATCAGTTTAATATAAAAATTACCAAAACCTTGCAGTCTGACGCCAATAGATTTTAAGACATTTTGAAACTGTAAACGTCAGACTAGGCAGTATGGATTAAGATGCCTTTGCCAAAGTTATAAAATAAAATAAAAAATAAGAAAGAAATCTGACAACAGGTAACAACTGTCACTGTTAGTATAAATAAAGGTATTTATACGTAAATATTATTAACAAAAAATATAATGATTAATTAATCTACCAGTTATGTGAAATAATTAAAATAATTTCAGTAACAATGTGTGTTGCAGTGGAAACCTATTATAAAACTTATGTCTTAAAAATGAATGGCAAAGAATTATAATTAAAACCTGATTACCTAAAAGTTACAAAAATATAAGAATTGAGCTGCTGGAGTAAATTAGTAAAAACAAAATCATAAGAAAAACATGCCACTACCATCATTTTTTAGCCGTCTTCCTAGCCCTAGCAGTAGTAACACAGGGCTTGGGAGCCGAAGATGCCGCCGCCGCCGTCGCCGCAGTCAAGGATGTGGTAGTAGGGACACCACCAGCTGCATCAGGAATGGCGATCACCTCAGCCACGGTGTACACCCGGTGCTTCGTGCCGTCGGACCCAAGCACCACAACATATCCATCGCGTGTCCAACACTGGGATACACCAAAGCGCTTCCGAGCAGCAACAAACGCCTCATGACGACCCTTAGTCATGAACTCAGATAGAGTAACTCCGCTACCCTTTAGCTTGGTTTTGGAAAACCAAACTTTGTCACGGAGATCCTGATCTTGAAATTTCACGAGCAACACACGAGGCTTGTCGCCACGGGGGCGCCCTAAGCGATGGCATCTGGTAATAGAGTCCACACTTAATTCAGGGATGTTCAGCCGCTCTGATAATACCTTACTTGTGCAATGTACTAGGTTCTCATCTTGAGCTTCTGGCATTCCATGGACAAGCAACATCTTCCTCCTGGTCCTTACCTCCATTTCATCTTGCTGCCTAGAGAGAAGCTGGAGCTGAAGTTGCAGATTCTCAAGTGCTGACAGGACGAATGCCCTAAATGCATTAAATTGTGCATTAATATTGGAAGAAGGGCTCGTTGCAGGGATGGATGTTCTGACCTCCCTCTGGAACTCATCCATACGTGAAGTGAAATTCAGTGTTAGCTCTTCAATTGACTTCTTAAGCAAATCCATTTTTAATATTCAATTAAAGGTTACTTAAAGGTCAATGTCAAGTGACAGTGAAGTGGCAAAATAAGTTTTAAGTTGTGCAATGAAAAACAAATTATTAGTAAACAATGCTGGTGGATTTATGTAATTACAGGTACATTTATATACTTGATTGTTCTAAATTTACTATAATTAAAACTTTAAAAAATCAGGAACGATTTTAAATATGTCAACACAGTTTTGCGCCTACCCACCGAAAAGCATGATGATGATTATGAAAGTGTTATCAATGTATATAGTAATATAATTCATGATTGTTTATACACCCATATTTTGTAATTAACAAAAAAATAAGTGCTCTCAGTGTCTGTTATCGATCACATTTGGGTAGAAAAAAATAATTAATTAAAATAATATCTCAAAAAAGGATAATAGTTACTCTGTTATCATAGTAGGTACGTATTATTCTTCAGAGTCGGTGTGTGCTGATAATATTATACCACTACCAAAACTCTATGACAGTGCCATAGCAGAGGATATTAAAATAATAAATAACTCAAATATAACTAAAAATAATATAATTGTGTATAGTGATGACATGGGAAAATATCTATGAAAAAATCTAAAAATCATGAATGAAAATAACACTTGGGAATAAGGTGATTGCCACCATGCTGATTCTATGAAAATTCATTTACAATTGTATAAACAAAATTATTGTTAAGTGAAATTATGTTTAAAAAAAAGTCCCGCTGGGTTTCTTGCTGGTTCTTCCCAGGACAGAGGTATTTTCCGAACCAGTGGTAAATAAAATAATGACTTTCAATAAGTAATATGTAATAATCCATATTGAATAAAAATCATTCCATTCTTTTCTATTCTATTCTAGGCATAACTTTAAATAACTCTTTAAAGGGACAAAAAGTTACAAATTGCTGCATGCCTGGAGCATCTTTTAGTGACATCCTAAATAAAATTATTGTTACTAAATTTTCCCCAAATAGTACAATAATCATTTTTGTTGGTAGAAGAGGCAGTGTAAACAACAAACAGTTATTAAGATATATTGAAGAACTTAATAACTTAAATGTATGAATCGCCGTGTGAACAAGATATTTTCGAAAGAGATTTAATTCTTGACGAGCTTAATCAGCACAATCGAAGAACATTTGAACGTTCATTGAGTAAGCCATCCGAAATTCCAGACGTATGCGCGTTAACTTATTTCCTCGAACGGGAAATTCCCGCTGACGAAATAACTATTTCTACTATTGCAAACGTACATTCTGCTAAGAAACTATCGGCGAATGTGGGTAGTTCAGTAAAATTCTCGGGCCGGAGCAACAACGCAACCGACGGTACTGTGCCAACGGCGCGACGCTCTTCCATCACTAACCTTAATGTACCCATAGAGCAGTCTCGATCTAAAAGTAATGGTAATAAGGTTAGAACTTGTTTACATTGCAACGGTCAACATACATTAACTAAATGTTCACAGTTTCTAAATCGTTCTCCCCAAGATAGATATTCATTCGTGCAAAATAAAAACATCTGTTTTAATTGCTTACATATTGGACACGACGTTCAGAATTGTAAATAATATTTCGTTTGCAGTTCGTGTTATAAACGACATCATACATTAATTCATTTTTCAACGCAATCGTTATCGGCCATTAGCGAAAGGGCGGCGGCAGATAGTGCTATACAGATCCCACCTACGAAAGAGCGAATGAGTGTTATCACGGCTGAGTCACCTTTTACCTTACCTGCCAACAGCAGCGAGGTACATGATAATTGCACGTCCAATGCACCTTTAGTTCGTACTAATACAGTCCTATTATCTACAGCGCTCGTTAATATTTGCGTAGGTGAATTAAAGGTATCAACCGTTCGATGTATTGTAGCCACGGGTAGCCAGGCGTCCTTTATCACAGAGTCTTGCATACAACGTTTAGGTTTAGCGCGTAAACATATAAATATTCCGGTTTTTGGCATAGGCGATAGCGATTCTGTGCAACCTAAAGGTATAGTTTCATCTGTAATTGTTCCAAAGGATAAACAGCAGCCCATTGTACCCGTGGATGCATTAATTTTGCCAAAATTAGTTACAAAAATGCCCAGTGTACCTCTGCCCTTTACAGGGTGGTCACATTTAAAAAATTTAAACTTAGCTGACCCTGACTTTCACACACCCCAACCGGTAGAAATGTTACTAGGAGCGGATATACTGTTCGCGCAAAACTCTGTTGTCGGAATCGACACCAGATGTCACTCGGCTCGGCGCGATTCCGGTCTGAAGTTCTTCCGAGCTTGGCAGTGGCGCGCGGGTCGCAAGCGAGTCAGTCATCGGCCGGATGTGCTAATGTTTGCACGCTGTTAATTTTGTGCGGGAACCGCGGAATAGTTAGGGCGTCTAGTAAATATCCTGTCTAGGAATTATAACGCGCATTCCCTGTTTGGATAGCCTTTCCCGGGACTTATTGGGTCCGACTCAGAATCTGTATAAGTGCATTCGACAATATAAGCTAGTGCGGCCTCTGTATTTAGAATTTATCTATTGCCACGCGAAACGGTAGTGACCTTTGACCCAGAAACTCCGGGCGTGTTTTGTGCGGTAACCTTATACCCCGCGATAGTTAGTGGCTTCTGTAAGCTAGTTAATAGTACGATAGAGTTAAGTGACTAGCATCGTGGTGAACCAAGAAAGTGACTGTGGATAACCTCGAAAGGCCCCCTCAAGTTGGAGCGGTGTCGACGCTCGGGCTGCTGCCGACGGCTAAGGTCTAGGTTCAATCACCATCAGTCACACCCAGATACACACCACATCACCATTCTTTCCCTTGCACTACACAACCACATGCGACCTGACCGACTCCGGAGGAACCAGTCGCCTTGGATAGAGGTAAGTGAACTCCGCCAAATTCCTTCCGGTCGACTGGCCGTAGTATAACGCTCCCCCATATATTTAGTGTAATTAGAGAACTTCCACGTGGCCTTAGGAGGCCCGACCTACGTTTGCTCGGGAAGTCTTCTGCTGATGGGCCCCGGGGGATTGGATCCTTTAAGGGAGCAACCGTAGGCCGTAACAAACTGGTAGCAGAGCGTGGTTCCGGGTTCGATTCCCCGGTCGATCCCGACCATAGTGCTAGATAAACATTAAACAATTTTGGTGGCAGGGAGCGTTGGTGTGATTGGTTTAATTTGTATCTACAATCACGCCCGTCCGTAATACGTAAAAATATTTTTTTGTACGTAATAATAGAATTATTTCCCTTTGTTCTTTGTTGCTTGCCTTTTTTTGGTTAGTGGGTAGATTTGAAAAGCCGCGCCCTAGGTTGCGCAAGCGGGAGTTTTCTAGAGATATACGTCATGTAGGTAGATGGTTATTTTTACGTAATCGGTTAATTATCGTTGTCGGATAGTTGTAGTGGATTACTTATCGAAGGTTCGATTTCCGAGCTAGGCA